GAGGGAAGGTTTAAGTTGGACATCAGGAGGCGCTACTTCACGGTCAGGGCGGCTAGGGTCTGGAACCAGCTTCCAAGTGAGGTGGTGCAGGCTCCCACCCTGGGGGTTTTTAAGAGGAGGTTGGATGACCACCTTACTGGGGTCGTTTGACCCCAGTGCTCTTCCTGCCATGGCAGGGGGTCGGACTAGATGATCTGCTCAGGTCCCTTCCGACCCTAGAAACTATGAAACTATATTGCTCAGTTTTTAGGGTCTTTGTTGAAATGTGTTTTTAGTGGCACACCTCTGTAAACTCGCTATTTGGAATGCTTCAAGCAACACATCTGCATAGGGACTGAATATCTGGCCCTGCTCTTGAGTGCAATACTTATATTTATACGGCTTGTTTCTTGTTTTGTCTATGAGGTCTCTTGGCCTATTCAAGATAGCAGTCTTACAATTTTAATTACGTTTCTTTCATTCAAGTTATGTTCTTTTCTTTAGACAGTGTTCTTAAAGGCTTCTGAATCTCTTTGCATATCAAGTTTAGATCTATGCAAGCAGTTTTGGAAGGAGAAATAAAGGTTAGAGCAGGGATAGGCAACCCCTGGTGCACATGCCAGAGCATGATATGCAAAGACATTTTCTTTGGCATGTACACCTTGGGGAAAGGGCTGGGGCTGCGCTGCCACAGCAAGGATTGGGCCCCTCATGGCTCCCCACACTGTTTGTCCCTGGCCCTCCAACATCTTACAAGTCAAGGTTGCATATGTTTTTGGCACTTTCAACAAAAAAGTAGCTGCCCCGGGCTAGAGTCTCTAGTTCTACAAGTTGTCTGCTTGTATATGTCCACACAGCTTGGATGGAAAGTTTATATGTAACTTTCTATGCACATTGTCAGACATTTGAGAATGCAGCTGCCCTAAATGTCATTCTTTTTAGGTGGGATTATTTCACAAAAGAATTGTCAGGTTAATTTTTTTTTTTTTTTTTTTTTACATTCTTATCCTTCAACCTAGTAAACAAATTAATATATATTAAATCTTCTGATTTGAGGACAGACAAGCAAAATGAGTTCCATGCTCATTCCAATTTTCATTCAGCTATTTTTATAGTGTTGTAAATCTTTGAAAAGAAAGAGATTAATAGTATGTTGGGTATGAAGACAAGTATTTACCTAAACCATATATGCACAAATGGCAGAAGTGTAAGACATCTCAGCGCAAACCTATTTATTTTTCATTTTGTAATCCACACTCCCTATCACTGACATGTCAAAACCCAGTGGTCCTCTCCACATTTGTCAGGAAAGATTTAAGTAGTAGAGATACTGCTTTAGTGAGTCCTAGTATTACTAAGACCATTCAACTTTACAAACTAAACTGAAAAATATGATAATATACTATAATCTGTTACCATAATTAAGCAACATTTGTCAAATAAATACTTTATTTTTTGGTTTATATTCTTTTCAAATAGCTGAGCTGTAGAGTACTTTAAGCTAACCATCCATCTTGCAACTTACAGAATTCTTTTGTTCATATCATCATGATGCTTGGGATTCTGTACTGTGCTTTCGTTCAAGTTGTATTCTTTTCTATAAAGTCTTTCTTCAGTATCTTACATGCTTTATTATATGTCCACAGAACAGGTTTGTTTACTCCAGACATGGCCTTTGAAGCTATAGTTAAAAAACAGATAGTGAAGCTGAAAGGGCCTTCCTTAAAAAGCGTGGATCTGGTGATGCAAGAGTTAATCAACACTGTCAAGAAATGCACAAAAAAGGTAACTTCTGAATGGATTCACTAATACTTGAAATATTCTGTTAACCTGCTAGCTATTATGGTAGATAATTTGTTTCACAAATAAAGATTAACTTTTTATGTAACCAGTAGTCGTATACAACTCATGATGTGTTTTGGTGCTTAAAAAAGTTTATTTCTGGGTCCTGTATCCTCACTATATTATTTATGTCAGTTGGTTCTTCATTCACTTGTATAACCATATTACCCTCATTCATATTGCACAGTGTTACTGAGGGCATAATATGAACAGAGCAGGATCTCCTCAGTGCCCTTACCCATGAAACCTAGCTAATAGTTCTATAGCGGTGTAAGGTGAAAAACCCCAAGCCAATTCAGATCTAAAGTTATCATTGCAGCATGGACAAAAGTAAAGTAGAAGAATAATTAATTTGCTAATAAAGATGAGATTCCAAATATGCCTAAGGAGCAGATTTGCCAAATTACAGATTTCATATACAACCTCTTTGCACTATAACCATTTTTAAATCCCCAAAGAACTAATGAACAGTGATTTTATTCTCCTGTGCTGTTCATCATATACACAGATTGCTAATTCATAATCTGGAGTTTTCAAGAGCCTCGAAGGGGGGATCTAGTTTTCCCTTTGTTTTGTGGACACATTCACAAGTGTGAGTTCTGCACGTAGGTAGAAGGGTGACCTTAGTCTCTTAAGCACTGCCAAGAGTGTGTAGCAAACTAATTTAATTTGAAAAAAATCTGCTGTGCAATTAGCTTCCATTAGGTGAAAAGTGTATGTACTCAAAGGGTGCATCTGCAGGTGCAGTTAGCCTGCCAGCCCAAGGCTGCTCCACCCCGGCTCAGTATGCTGCAGAGGGGGCTGGTTGGGGCATGAGTGCTACAGTATGAGGCTAACCAGCAGGCAGCCCTTGCACTTTAACACCTTTGTGCCCCAGCCAGCCGTGGTCACTGTCTGCGTGTGCGTTTCAGTGCATGTAACTACTCCGCTATAGGATAGTACTTGTCCTGGACAGTACTATCCTACAGTGAAGTTAATTAACCTATTGCACTCCAATACAGGAGTGCGTGTAGATCAGGGGTGTGCAAAATGCAGCCCACAGGCCAGATGCGGCCCACCAAGCCATTCTATCTGGCCCATGGGGCCCCTAAAGTTTAGAAAATTAATATTTTTCTGCCTCTGGCTGCCTGTCATGCAGCCCTCGATGGCTTGCCAAAACTCAGTAAGCAGCCCTCCACCTAAAATAATTGCCCACCCCTGGTGTAGATGGTGTCATTTTACTGTGGAGTTAGTCAGCTCTGTAGTAAAGCACACACGTAGATAAAACCAAAGAGACCTTCCCAACAGATATAAAATAGCAGACTCCTTTGGTAGTAAATATTAAACATAATTTTAAAATGCAGGCGTTTTGTTTCCTTAACACAAACAAACAAAGAAATCCCAAGCCTTATTTTCCTATTGTGACAAAGTTTGAGGTTTGGTACGTAGCTGAATAACCTACAGATATCAAAAATCAGATGCATGTTCCTCTATTGCAGGGGATAGCCTTTTCAGAAGTCAGTGGTTCCATCTGATCCATTATCTTGTCTCTGCCAGTGTTCTTCAAAGGTTCTCTTTAACTTTCAGCCTGTTGCAGGCTATCTTTTTGCCTCTGAATTACCCTATAAAGGGGGAAACACCCTTTAATCTCTTAATGTTTTTTACACTGTATAATATAAACTAATGTTTACATAAATATATAATTTTTTGAATTCTAATCTCTTGACTTCTGTCTTCAGTGGCAGTGTTCCACTGATCAATTATATCAAATAAATATGTTTCCTTTTAGATTTGTTGCTTTTTTACTTCTTTTACTGCTACTTTGCTTTAATATAAGTGGGGAAATTTGAACTTTTGATTTGCTTTTTCTGTCATTCATTATTTTCTGTTCCTTTGCTATGTCATCTCTTAGTCTTCTCATTAAAATATGCATTCCTTTTTTATAAAAAGTGAAGTTTTATTGGTCTGGGGAGAGTTTTATATACCCCTCCATTTGTGAGTTTTTCTATGTTGCTGTTCTTTTTCACTTCCCTTCTCTGGATCGTTTCTATACCTGATAGATCCTTTTTCAAGATGGGGTGAACAGAACTGACTCCAGTATTCAAGGTGAGGGCATGCTATCCATTTTGGTCATGGCAATGTAATCAGTAATACTCTCTTCCTTTTATAATACAATCTAACTTGGTATTTACTTTTTTTATTTCAGCTGCACATTCTTTTTCTTCAGTGATGCATAGCTGTTCCTCCTGATCAGTCATGGTTTTAGACTTAGTTGTGAATTGCTCCTTCAGCTGTACATCACCTTCTAGTTATTTTTTGTGAATTTAATATGCAGTGGTGTTGCCCAGTCATCTTGCGTGGTTAGGGCTTCCTGTAATTCTTGGCTTACTTTGCTCCTGACTCATAAATAATTGTCATCTGATATTATTACCATTTGAACAATCACTCTTACCCAGACCACCATTCCCAGTACAGATTCTGAGGACACTTTATTATAAGCATCCTTTTATGATGGAAACTGACAATTTATTTCCTCTATTTTCTGTGTTTTGTTTTCTTAGATCTCTTAATAGACCTCTGGTAAGACAATTTATGAACGGCCTTTTCAAACATTCAGATAGCTGGCTGTCCTTTATCTATTTTCTTATTCTTATTCTAAGACTTATTGATTTTCCTTTATAGGAGCATGAGTATAATGGATACAGTATTGGGTATCGTCAGACTCTTTTGTATAACAGCTGAGGTTTTTTTATAATAGGTTAATTTCCATATTGGATACTTTACTTCATTCTTGTATACCTACAGAATTCCTTGTATGGTGTGTGACTGTAATGACAGGTTTTCTTTTAATTTCTTCCAGTCCATCTCTTTTCGTAAGTCTAAGTGTGCTCCTTCTTTATTACCAGAGAAGTATTAGTATGGGATAAGTGTTACTATCATTTGCATTGCAATCTGATGCACAAAAATAAATGGGTAACGTTTTCAAAGCACTTAGTTCAGTCCATTTCCCATCTTCAGAACTGCTTTGGAAATGAGGGTTGTTTATATATGTGTACTGGGTGGGGGGGGCTCTTTCATTAGAGTGGCTCTGAGAGCAGCTCTAATTAAAGCACCAGGAGCATCACATGCATCAGCAACCCCCCACACTGAAGGATGGCGCCAGGGGTGCTTTAACTAAAGCTTGTTGAATGAACTTTAGTTAAAGCATCCCTGCTGCCATTTTTCAGTGTGGGGATGCTGATATATGTGACACTGTAGTCTGCTGGAGTGTGGTAATTATCACACTCCAGTAGACTCAAATAATTGAATCTGCTCCAACGCACTGCAATCACAGCATGTCGGAGCAGCTTCACTTGCACATGTATAGGCACCCAAGGACACCAGCTCCCAATATCTTTCCTAAATGCTGAAGTCAGTTTTAAAAATGGGACTTGGGAACAAAAATCACATAGGAGCTTGTGAAAATTTTACACTCATTCACTTTTTCTGCTATATTATATGTAAGGGTTGACAGAAATGTATCATTCTTGGAACTGGCATTGGCCCTTGGCCATAGCTGGAGCTATCCATTTTTTTCGTCAAGGGAAGGAAATGTAACAAACATGGGAGTCTCACAAAATCATTTTATAAGCAAAAGATGGCACTGTTAAGTATTTTACCCATTCCTATTTTAATCTAAATAAAATGTCATCAGAAGGTATTGATAAAAATTGGTGCAGAGCATTAGGGTTTCTGATTTACCTTTATGGCTAGATGATTATAGAACAGGCCCAGAGTTGTATCTCTTCTTTCCATCAATGGAAGAATCAATGACAAATTTATGTTCTTTTGGGGAGCACAAGACCTGCCAAGTTGGGGTCACTTTGTTTCTTGTGATGCATTAGTAAGATTTTTTTTCTCTCTCCCCATTCATCATCAGGATGCCAGTAAGAATAGATACGGTTGAGTTCTGGATTTCAAACTGCCCAAGTGGTTTAGAACCATAATTCTTAGTCTCTCTTAAAGCCAGTGGGCCAGTTGTTCATTTCTTCACTTGTTAAGGCTCAGAGGAAATCCTGTAGTGGATTACTTGAGTGGAACTTTTTCCAGTAATAATTAGCTAAACTTTTTTGTGGCTGTTGGTGCAATATGTATTCTAGGAGTGCTACTTTGGAGCTCACAGGTGTTGCCACAAGCTGGAGTCCTGAAGGTATTTGAAGCTTTAGAATGGCAACACCAAGCCCTATGATCAAGGAGCAGAGAGAGTATTTAGATCGGGGGTGTTGAACCTGTGACATGCATACATGCTACAAGTGGCACTGGCAGCTTTTGTGTGTGATACATGGTCAAGCTGCGCGAAATTTCACCGCTGTTTTCATTTTGATGCTGTTTCGACTTGTTTTGAGCCTGAAACAGCGAAATCAAAATCAAACAAAGGGCTTCGAAACAGCCTCGAAACAAAATGAGTTTCGAAGCTGAAGCTGGCCTGTGGGGAAACAAAGTAAGGAGTGGGAGGGGGAAGGACACAGTGCAGGTACACCTTAACACATATGCTGCAGAACCTGAGGTGCAGTTTGCCAGAAACCCTTGCACCTATCTCCTTGAAAGCCGGCAGGCTTCGTTTCCTCAGCAGGGGCTACCATGCCTGCTGTTTTCACGGTGCTTTTGAAACCAAACGAAACACGAAACAAAACACTGTTCTGTCAAAATGGTGAAACAGAAGTTGAAACGAAATGGTGCTGTTTTGCACAGCCTTAATATGTGGCACACTGGGGAGAGGAGTAGGTTGGGCAGAAAGCATAGGGCAGGGAGGAGAAAGCAGAGCACGGATCAGGCAAAAGAAGGGGATAGGAATGGCACTCAGGGAAGATGTGGGGCTAATTTATGGCACTCCTGCCAAAAAGGCTGGCCTTCGCTGATTTAGATCCAGGACAGAGAGGAAATTTAGAGCCTCTTTTCCATGTGGCTGGGTGGAGGAGCCTGGTAGCAGGAATCTCTCTACAAGAGTGACATGGCTTGTAGAACTCACACACAAAAATGCATAACTTGGAGAAAACAATGCTGTCAAACTATGTTCAGTATTTAGGAAGTATATGCAAATACTTAGCATTTTTCTTTGTCTATTGTTTGGATAAATTATTATCCAGAGCCATTCCTGTCCCACTGCAGGCATGCTGCAACAGTAGGAGGTTCCTTTGCCCTGCCTCTGCTCCCATGCTGGCAGAGAACACCAAGGAGGGCCAGGGATGGAGGGAGAACCCACCCTCTGCAGGCATTGTTCCTAGGTGAATCCAGCATCATGCGGAGCCCAGCTGGAACTTAAGGAGCAGCTCTGGAGCACCCTCACAGGTCCACCCCCATGGCAGCTGTGGGTGGAGAGGTGCCATTGAGCATGGAGAGGCAGGGCAGGGGAATTCTCGTTTGCTTTTGGGACTTAAAAACGCTCCCCAGCTGGTGCTTCTGTGACAGTCAATTGAAAGAGGGGTGCATTCATGCCACTGCACCCTTCCCCTCCCTTTCCCCACTGTCCTTTTCCTCCCTCTCCCCCCTGCCCTTTTCCTCTCCTGCTGCCCTATGTTGGCAGCCCTGCAATGCCATAGTTAATTTATTCCATATCATGTGTGACAGTTCTTTGTATGCCATATTGGCAGCACAACGGCCTCTAGAACACTGCTGGAGTCTCTTCAGGGGTCAGCTAATTGTGGGTGAATGTGTTTTAAATATACTTAGTAGCTTAGAATATTCTGTTTTCTGATAGCAAGTCATTTTATCTGAATGGAAAAGTAAAGTATCACTAGTTCTCCCAGGCATCTTTTCTGTCTCCATTCCAAGGTAGACAATTTGATGTTGTTTCTGGGCTGGAAACTATATTTTTAATAAAAATAGAAGTTTGTGTGTGTACACGAGTGTGTAGTGATATGCAAATTTAAGATTATATAGATAAAATATATCTTAATCTTCTAAAATAGAGCACTTGAAAATTTATCATAACAATACAATGTAAGAAAGTGTGAGTATTGCTTTTACATTTTGCACAGTTTCTCATATCTAACTCCCTTCAGGTCATCTCAGGACTGTTCTCTTTCTTTAGCTTCACCAAACTGCATTGGAGTGGGTATGCTGTTGTGATGTTAGCCTTTTCCCTTGAGCACTTCTTGGGTAGATCCATGCACTTGGGTTATGCATGCTTCCTTGGCATCCAAATTGGAGCCCTCTAAGAACCATTTCCTCATGTGCATATACCTTTAAAAAATCTGAACGTTTGAAGCAGGCGTATACAGAAAACTTGGTTTTGATTAAGTCTTTTCTATTTTTTTTTACTAGCTACTATGACTTTTTTAGGGTGGAAATCTTGGCACCTCTTTTCTTTCAGTACTGTTGGTTAGTTTAAGTTTGTGTAAGTAGTTTGCATAAATAATGAAAGTACTTTAGATATTTTAAAAAGAAAAGTAGTACCTTTTTGGGAAGGGTAGGGGGATAACAATAATTAGCAATAGGAGCTGCAGTTATTGCATGGTTTTAGCAAATGCCTTTTGGATTCTGGTAGTCTTTCTATTATTTTGTTTGCTTCGGATGGACTTGAAGCTGTGTAGATTTCAGTGGATGGATGACTATTGAAGAAAGGAAAAATTAATATTTCCTTGCTTTTCTCAAGGAGAAAAACTTTCTCTGAAGGTCTGTCAAACAATATGGCCTTTACTTGAGCTGGCATAGAGCAGGAGGTGTTTAAGTGACTTCAGTTATAAATAGTCTTTAATAAAACTTCTCCCCCTGCATTTATCCAAAGGGTCTCCCCACTGCTATGCCAAGGCAAAACTAACTGCATTGGTTTTGTAAAATAGCAATTAGGAGACTCATTCAGAATTATAAGGACATGGTTTGTTATCTTGTTTTTTGAACAGATAGTGAAGAGAACTTCATTATTATGCATAATAGTATCATCCAAGAAGTTGACTTGAGAAATGCAAGACAAAACATCTCCTCCTTCAGATGTTTTGTCACAGGTTAGGTTCTTCATCCACATCCAGAATATTCTCTGGTGGTCTGGATTATGTCAGACTTGAATTCTGATGTTGCTTGCTCCTAAAAAGTGTAATGAATTATTGTGAAGAGTCATAGGCTTTTTGATATAGAAAAGACTTACTTTGAAAGGAACATGTTTTTACTGAGAACTTCCAGTAAAAGTACATTCACAGATTTCTACAATTCTGCTTTCAAATCTTGCCCTGTTTGGCATGCAGGTACTATTTTGTGTAAAAAATCCTACATAAATGATAAATACTTATACAGTGTTAGACTAGTCCAAAGTACAGTCATTATACCTTATAACCATCTGTCAAAACTATTCTGTTTGTCAGACGTGAAAGCACAATTATTACTAGCCCACTGAAAGGATTTGGAGTTGTCTTCCCCCTTCTTACGAGCCAACACTGTTGATGGAATCACATCTATGAATCATGTCCATTATTTCAGTGCTTGAGAGAATATTTCCCACTAATTACAGCCCAGCAGTATTATATCAAACTCCATTTATAACAAACTCCAGCATTTAACAATCCCAGAGCCAGAACTGATTTTTTTTTGTGGTGATGAGGATGCTGCAAATTGACTAACCCTATTATAGATGACTTGGTCTTTTAGAACTTTTGTTCCAGTCCCACGGGGATTCATTGTAGTGAGGATGTTCTTTCTCTCTCAAGACTGCGTTGCTCAGCCAGGATACTTGGAGAGTGCGAATGCCTGATAAATTGCAGTAATTATATGTTCATGTCCAAAATTTCTGTCTAAAAATTACATGAGTTTAATCTAAACCAGTTTATTGATGTGCTCAAGGTGTTTCTCTAAACTTTACAATTTACCAATTGGAGGTAGGGGGCAAAAATTAGATGAAAAAATAGCCCTGAGCTGGTTTTAGTAGCATGTAACCATGCAAACATTAATCATCCTATGTTGAGATAAGTGAAAGTCTCCCAGATCTTTGCAGCCAATACTAAAAAATTATAAAACAAAAAAAGCTTCCTTAACAGTATGTTGTTCTTGAAGCTCACATACACATCTTCTTTCTCCATTCTTCTGCCTTCCATTTTGGAATAGCTTTGCTAGGGATTCAGAAAAAATGAACAAGATTTGATGGCATTAGTTATGCGGTCCCATGTGTATTGTTTTCCATTTCTGCAAAGGAGCATTCACCCAAATTGATCATTACTCCCTTGAGCTTATTAAAACAAATATACACCCCCATTTCAAGAGTTTCTGTGTCTATATGTCTACTCTAAAATGATTATTGCTGGTAATTAATCTTTTTTCATAGGTTCTTCTTGTGATTAGTATTTTCCAAAACTTCTTTTCTCTAGGGATGAAATTTTGTATAATATAAATCCTACATTTATATGCTCTTAACATCACCTAGAAAGTTAAAAACCTAATCCTTTTATTTTACAGTTGGCAACCTATCCAAGACTTTGCGAAGAAACTGAAAGGATTGTTGCTGGCCATATTCGAGAAAGGGAGGAGAAGACCAAGGGACAGGTGGGAGTAAACATGAAATCTGATGGGTCAGGAAACTGTATGGTGAAAGACTCCCCTAAAGATTTTACCTGTATTATTTTATGAAAAGCCTTAACTAGAGATGTAAAATTTACGGAAATTTTGAAGCCGTGGAAAACATTCCCCCCCACATTTTTTTGGAAAAGAATGGAAATTTTGGGGAAAATGTAAATATATGCAATACTTATTTCCTTAGCACCCTTTACAGATCTAGATTCACTTTGCCACTTCAAAAACATAAAATGTATTATGTATAACTTGGTTTGCTCATAAAATTATCATGTTTGGTATATTTATTAAATGTAAAAGTATAGTTTATTCAGACAGTAATTACACATTTACTAATTGAATTTACTTTAAAATGTTTTTAATTTTTGTTACAACTGGAACTACAAGCTGCTGAACTCTAAGGAACCTAGCATCTCTTAGTTTTTGCTAGTTTATGAGAAGCAGGCAAAAATTAAAGTTGAAAATAATAGAAACCATCAACATTATAGTAAAACAAAGAAGGTTATTATGTATTCTGGACTTAGTGTCCTCTACAGTGTCAAGCAGATACAGAAAGCACTCATTTTTAGAAGAAGAGCTGAGAAGAAAAGGGGGAAGAAAGCCAAGGCTCACTGAATACAAGTTTTGCTACGTTTGTCTAATCAGTGTAGTTTTCTGAGCTATTACTATCAGCAGTTTCTGCTTCTTCTGATTCTTCATTTTTATCGTCTTCATGGTCTTCTGAAAACTGAAGGTTTGCCCAGATTTGAGACAAGCTTCTCTACTCTTTCACATGTTAGTTTATTTCTTGATTTGGTGTGACCATTTCCAAACATAGACAAGGTTTTTTCACATGCTGCAGAAGATGGAGGACTCTGAAGCAGGTGAGGAGCAAGAGCAGTCAGAGGATGTGTTGTGTGAAAGTCTTGCCACCCCGTTGCAGGAGGGATATGCTTGGGGTCAGCCCAGGGATATGTGTGGCAGAGTCCCAGACTGCATTTCTGGGCCAAATACCTGAAGATGTTCAGTATTCTGCAACATTTGAAAATGCCTTTCCAATATCAAGTCCTAAGTGTGTTGCTTGTTTTGTAATCCAGTCAAATGCAGTAGCATCTAGTTTTACTACACAGTTTGAGTGTCACTATTTTATTCTTTGCATTCTTTTCTTCCTGCTTCTTAAAGACTGCAGCTACAATATGAGTAGCTTTTACATACTTTATAACTTCTTTTGCTCTTCTATAGATCTTTTTGTATTGTCCAACTTCATGATGTCATTAAGAGGCAAGTTTAGCCCTTGGGATGCATATCCTATTGCAGTAATATGTGGATATTTATCCATTATGATCTCCCATGTTGCTTTCATGTTACTTGCGTTGTCAGTCCACCACGCAAATACTTTACCACTCCCAATCTTCTGTAGGACTTGAAATATTTTACTACTGATATACTCTGTGGTATGCCTGTTCTCTCCTGTTTCAATGCTTCTGTAAAAAACTGTTCAATGTGTTGTTATCACAGTTTATGATTCCTTCTCCCCGCACATTTGACCATCTATAAGGGGGTCTTTGCGCCACCCAGAGTCACATTGCCTCCCTGCTGAAATAGTAGTGTCTCGCTGTAGTAGATTGTCTGCCACGCCTTTTGATGTTATGGGAGATATGCTTAGACACTACTGGGAGGCAACTGAGATGGTTATGGACTCAAAACATTAGTGGCTCTTTGCAGGGCTCCACCATCCCCATCCCCTGCCCTCACCATATCTGATGTTCCAGGCACTGTTGATTACCTCTAAGGTCCATTATTATCTTTGCTTGAAGGATCTCGACTAGGGCCCTTGTCTAAGTGGCTGCTCGCCCTGTTCTTCCTTGCACAGGCCCCAAGTTTTCTCTTTCTGTGGTCGTGTCCCCCCCCATCACCCTCTTGTAACTGGGGTCCACTCTCTCTTCTTCCCCTTCTGGGGGAGTAATGTCACCTTTGTGTTCCTGTTCCTATTGGTTCCCAGAGTGGTTCCCTTCAGCACCTCCCCCCCACTTGGACTCACCGGTCACTTAAGCTTCTCTGTCAGCTCCAATTTCTGGCTGGACCTTGTCTGGTAAGTTATGGGGTTGGAGCTTACACTTTGGCCCTCTAATCGATCTTCTTCTCTTGCCTGCTCTCTCCTCTTCTCTGCTTTCTTTCTTCCTCTGCCTCTCTCGGGATGCTCCCCCGGCGTCCCTTAAATCTTCCTCTCTTCAGCAGGGTCCATCGTGGCAGTTCCCTATTGGCTGCCTGCCTGACCCAGCTGTTCCTTCTTTGCTCGCCAGCATGGTACCTCTCCCTTTCTCTTTGTTCTTTTCCCACACCACTTTTTTCTTCTCATGCCTTTGATCTGCTGCAGCCCCAGCCAACTCCTTCAGTCGTCCTGATCACGGAGGGGTTTGGCATGGCTCCTCCTGCTCCATGAGGTAAATTTCTCTCTCTTATTCCTTCCTGATTCTGTTTGTGGCAAGGTGCTTCAGGCACCCTGTCACACACCTCTCCCCCTCCAGTGGAGAGTCCCCACAAGATCTCTGTCATCATCTTTTGTCCGGATCTGTTCTTTTTGTCTATCAGCATTCCCTCTGGTCCGTTGCCGTCTTGTCAGTCAGGATAGGAAGTCAGCCACAATGTTCATTCGCCCCGGCCAGTGCTCTATAGAAAAGAAGAAAGGTTGCAGGGCTAAGGCCCATCTCATTAATCTGGGGTTTTCTGTCTTGGAGGTCTGGAGCCACTGAAGTGGAGTGTGGTCAGTAATAAGGAGGAACTTTCTCCCATATAAGTAATATCTAAACAGTTGGATTCCCCATTTTATGGCCAGACACTCTCTTTCAATAGTAGGGTATTGTGTCTTGTTTTAGCTAACTTTTTACTAGCAAAAGCTATAGGCCTTTTTTCCCTTTGGATGTATTGTGACAACACCGCCCTGACAGCCGTGACAAGCATCAGTGTGCAACTGGAACATATGTGAAAAGTCTGGGGTAAACAGTGACAGGGTGTTACATAGGGCTTCTTTTACCTCGGCGAACACTGTCTGGGCTCCTGGGGTCCAGTCTAAGCAACCCCCTCCTCGGCCTTGTAGCAGGTCTGTAAGAGGAGTGGCTGTTTCTGAGAACCAGGGTATGAGTCATCTGTAATAGTTCACCAGCCCCAGGAAGGACCTTAGTTACTTCTTCATTTGAGGTAATCTGCAGACCTGTATTGCCTCCACTTTGTCTGCAAGGGGTGTCTGCCCCACTTTCTCCCCTACCCCACTTTAATCCTCAAATACCTTGTTTCTGATTTCCTGAGGGCACATTTCTTGGGGTTGGCTGTTAACTCACTGCGCCTCAGTTCTTCTAGGATATTTTGTATATGCCTCATGTTGATCCTAGGTCCAGGAGAAGATCACTATATCATTGATATAGGCTGTGGCATACTCCTAGTGTGTTGCTAGGATCCTGTCCATTAGCCTCTGGAAAGAAGCCGCTGCCCCATGTAGGTCAAAAGGCATCCAAGTGAACCGTTGCAAACCCCAGAGTGTGCCAAAAGCTATCTTCATCTTATCCTCTGGTGCCATGGGGATTTGCTAGTACTCTTTTGTTAGATCCAGGGTTGAGATAAACTCGGCCCGCCCTATCTTCTTTAGCCTGTCTTCTATGTTAGGCATCGGGAAAGCATCAAAGGAGGAGATACTGTTTACCTTCCGGAAATCAATGCAGAGCCTGATGGACCCATCTGGTTTTGGTACTACCACCAGAGGACTTCTCCAGGGGCTCTGCAATTCCTTGATGATACCTTGAGCCAGCATCTGTTCTAATTCCTTTTGTACTGGGGCATATAGCAACTGGGGTAGGCTTCTCCAGTGTTCTTGTACTGCCTGCCCTGGGCTTGTCTGGATCTGATGGCATACCCCCTTTGCCCAGCCTGGCACCTCTCTGAAAACATCTTTATATTTTTGCGCCAGGCATTCCAGTTCCCACTTTCCTTGGGGTAGCTGTTCCCCTATCACTGGGGTCCTTTGACCACTTGGGTCACCACTCCTCCATTACCTCTCGTTTTAACATGTTTACGTGGTACACTTGTCTACCTTTCTGCATGCCCGGTCGCTCTACCTCATAGCTGGTGGGGCCTGATTTCTTCCATACTTTAAATGGACCTTGCCATCTAGTCTTCAGTTTACTGGTAAGGTCCAGTAGCATTACCAATACCAAGTCTCCCTCTTGGAATTCTCGTATCTGAGTCCCTGAGTCATACTGGCATTTCTGATCTGCTTGGGCTTCCTCCAGGTTATTTTGAGTGATATGTCTCATCTTCTCTAGCTGCTCTTGGATCTCCTACCCGGTGGGAGTTTTTACTACCCCCCAGTGCCTCTTCCTCTCACCCTTCTCAGACTATGTCTAACAGTCCTTGAGGCTTATGTCCAAAGATCAATTCAAAAGGAGAGCACCCAAGGGAGGCCTGGGGTACCTTTCGAATTGCAAACAGGAGCGGGAGTATACACACCTCCCACCTTTTGGTGTCCCCTTGAATGTACTTTCGTATCATGGACTTCAGGGTCTGGTTGAACCGATCGACCAGGCCGTCAGTTCGTGTGTGGTACACCGAGGTTCTCTGATGTCAGATCCTAAAGATCCTGCACACCTCCTTTAATACTCTGGACATAAAGTTAGTACTCTGGTCCGTAAGTATCTCCTTTGGGATCTCCACTTGTGAACTCCATCTGATCAACTCTTCTTCCACCTTAGGGGCTGTCACTGTTCTCATAGGTTTTGCTGTCACTGTTCTCATAGGTGTGGCGTAATCCACAGTGACAAGAGCAAATTGGTACCCAGCGGCACTCCTCGGGAGCGGGCTGATTATGTCCGGGACAGTTTTATTGAAGGGTGTCAAAACTACCTCTAAAGGCTACAAGGGGGCCCAAGGTGGTAGATGGTCCAAATACCACTGACATTCAGGGCAGGCTGTATAGAACTGGTCCACCTGTTTACGGAGTCCTGGCCAATATGCCCACATTATAAGCCGGACTATCGCCTTATCCAGGGGCGGGCAATTATTTTGGGTAGAGGGCCACTTACTGAATTTTGGCAAGCCATTGAGGGCCACATGACAGGCAGCCAGGGGAAGATAAATACTAATTTTCTAAATTCTTTAGGGGCTGCATGGGCCAGATAGAATTATTAATTCATTTACCCCATCACCTGTTCTATCCTGTCAGACACCTGGACCCTATATTCAATAGGGCACCGATTGTCTCGTGTTACCTGCTGGTATATGGAGCTCAATCCATTGGGATGTCCATTCATGATTTATGGCTTCTGGAAATCTAATTGTAGTTGCAAAAGCAGTGCATTTTGTTTATCTTGCAAAATATAATGCTAGAATCTGTGTTGTGCTTCAACTCTTCTTTGGCCACATGGAATTAGTCCTAATTTATGCAAAAACAGTCAGTGAAAATGAGGCCACCACATGGACCTGAAGGTAGTTGTTGTTGCTCCTTTTTTCCCTAGGTTATTAAATAAGCAAAGCAGGAAAAAGCCATGGGATTTAGAAAATATTGCTGCATTTGCCTTAAATTGTTATAAAAGACATGTGTTTAATAACATAGCAAACTGAAATTTTCCTTTTCTTTTGTCATTTTCAGGTATTGCTGTTGATTGATATCCAGGTATCTTATATCAACACCAACCATGAAGACTTCATTGGCTTTGCAAAGTATGTAATAAAGACTTTATTATAATGACACACTCTTAATTTTCTATTCATACCAATTTAACTTAAAAACAAAAAAAAAGGAAACCTTGAAATATAACAGTGGAAATGTGTGGTGCCCACCCTCTGATGTTTAGGTACAGGCTCACACTCAACACACATGAAGTCTAACACTGGTGTTGGTCACACCATCATTCTTCTTGTATTTGAAAACCCTGAAGATGCAAGATTGGCAGTGTTTCAAAATGTGTCTGGTGGCAGCTTACATAGAAGGAAAAGAAAAATAGACTGCAGACAAGCCAAGTCAGTATGTAGTGTATCCACATGAAGGGAAACCTAAGATAAGGGGATAATTTATACCATATCTTTCTAAAACAAGCAAATCTGAATAGCAAACTACCAGTGTTTTTTACAAGGGTGTAGCATGATAGTTTAGATTAGTTCTCCAAGAGACAAATCCAGATCTGGCCAATTAGTGTTAACACAACACATTTCTTGAGCCAGGATGCCGACATCCTCCCTCCATATGTATTATTTCTCCTGGGGTAATCCTGCGGTTTTTTTGCCCCCTGTCTTGTCTTGTGTTTTGGAAATAATGTGCTTGTCCATATATTAAAAAAATAGTTATGTGCCCTGTTTGAACTGTATCAATTCCATTTGTTTCTCACTATTTTGTTGCAATCTCACATCTAATTTGAGGAAAAATCCATTTAATCTGGGTATGGTACAGAAAAGAAAATTACAGATGGTCACTGTCTGAAGATGTATGTTTTTAAAGAATATTATTCACGTATCTCCTCCGGAAGGAAGAGGTTCTGAATGACCTGGTTTTTTCATCATTCATGGAAGAGGGCACTTTTGTCTTCCACTGGAAAGGAATGTATTGTTGGATTACTTGGAGAAGCCTATCTACCTAAGCAAAGTATTCCCAGCTGGGTCTGGTGACTTAAAACTTTGATCCGTAGGAGTTGTTGACAAAATCCCATTCTTTGGTATGCACAGACCACAAAATGGCAGTCCATTTACATGTTTTAATATTTGCAGTTGTAAGTAAGCAGTAATGTTTGCAAGCTTCTGTGTGACAGATGAGGTCTCAGAAAACTAGGGAAGGGCTTATGTCATTCCCATCTTTAAGCAAAGGAAAAAAGGAAAATATGGGGGATTTTAAAGCCCAGTAAACCTGACTTCAATACCTAAGAAGTTTTGTAAGTCAATTATAAAGCAGTCAGTTTGTCAATATCTGAAGGATGAGGTGGTGGAATTAGTATCCGGTTATGAATTTGTTAAGAACAAATCATGCCAACCAATTTCGTTTTCTTTTTTTATAGCATAATTGATTTGGTGGATAGTGGGAATGTAGTAGATAAAATGTACCTAGACTCTTGTAAGGTTTTTAACAGTCCCATAGTCTCCTAATTAAATTGGAGAAAATTGGGTTAAATAGGATTACTATTACATGGCTGTATAACTGATTAAATAACTGCAGGCAAAGAGTAACCTTAAATGGATAAATGACAGACCTGTCTGGGAGTCTCAGGGTTTCATAGGGTCTGTTCTGGGTCCAGTACTGTTTTAATATTTTTATTAGTGACTTGGATGCAGTGATAGAGAGCACATTGATCAAATTTGTAAGGGTTGTAAACACTTGAAGAAAAGGACTGAAATTCAAAGGGATCATAAAAAATTGAGAACTTGACTAGAAACAACAAAATGAAATTTAACACAGACAATTGTAGTGTGCTCCACAAAGAAGAAGAAAAAATACAGGTGCAGAATTAGGGGTAATTCACTTGACAGTAGAACTTCTAAAAAGGATCTGGGAATTAATGGTGGATCACAAACTTGGTATGAAACAGCAATGTGATGCTATTGCAAAAAGAAAAAAACAGTTTAACAGAAACACTGTGCACCAGACAACAGAGGTGATAACACTACTTTGGGTGCCACTGGTTAAGCCTCAACTGGCATACTGTATCCAATTTTGGGTACGTTATTATACGGATTGTAGAGAAACTGAAGAGGGTCTAGTGGTAAACAACGAAGTTAAAGGGGTTGGAAAGGAAGCTGTATGAGGAAAGATTGAAGCAAGTAGGTGGATTTAAATGGGAGAAAAGTAGATTTGTCAGGGGGTGGGGGAAGGGGAACATCATAACGGTTTCTAACTATTTGAAAAGCTGCCATAAAGTAGATGGAGAAACATTGTTCTCTCTTACCACAGAGGGCAGGACATATGGCAGTGAATCCTACACCTGGGCAAGTGGCTTGACTCCATGACTGTCAGTCCCTTCTAGTCTTACAGGTCTATAATTCTTTCCTAAGAAGATTGGAACATTACATGTCAAAGTGAGGGTCGAGAGGTATTTCCTTAATGCAAGCTTATGTGTATACCAAAACAAAAAATCAAACTAACAAACTTGTTATGGGGCAACTTTTACGTTTTCTACATGAAGGGTTTTCTACACTCAGGAGGCTTTAGGGGGATGTGCCATGTCCCATGAAGTGACAGATAGCAAAGTCCTTCAAACGTACATGCCTGTGATTGTCCCAGTGAAAACAGCTGGGCAATTAACACAAGTAAAGTTGTTTGTGTGAGAGTACCTGCATAATTGGAGCCTATGTACCCAGTGCTTCAACCTTTTTCTGGAATGGCAGAATTGCACACTTGGGTGTTTAGTCTGGGATCTAAATAGATTTTGCTTAGATTTCTTATTTATACCTATTCTCTTTTGTACTTTCAAATCAGTGCGTGTGGATGATGCTATTTTAAATGCTTATTTCTACCAGTTAATTGGTGTTTGCTGAAATGTCTGCAACTCTTATTCAGACAAAATTTGCTATTATCAAATGACTGTTGTGAAGGTTTAGTAGTCTATTAGACAAAATGTGTTTTTCAGACACCACTAATATTTGTATTGTGGTCTAATTGGCAGTGGATAGCTTATAAAATGCCTTTAGAATTAAATTTTGCAGCAATCATAACTTTTCTGTTTTTAATGAGGAATGTGTTTCATTTCAGTAATGGACTTGCCAAAGTTCAGGAACTGTGCAAAATCATCTGAATTTGTTTGTTTTAATTTAAAATGTGCTGCATTACTATAAAATTCCACTTTTTAAACTACCTTTTGTGATGGATTCATCTATTGCTTTTATATTTATGCCCTCAAAGAGCATATAAAAACTAGAAAAATATTTAGAAGAAGCTGGCAGGGCAAGGCCATTAGGGACTTTGTAGGAGGGGGAGGATTTTGTTGCATAGCTTTAAATAACTGAAGTGACTTATTTTTCCATGGCTCTAATATTGATAGGCCAATGTTTCCCACACGTGCAAATGTGCCATAACTTTTACATGCCTGTAGCAACCTTTAAAAGATACATCAATATAAATAGAGGCTTACTTAGTAGTACAGCATATATTACAAAGAAAGTGTCTAATAAGGATCTTTACGTGCTAATCTATTTTCTGTTCTTAGCACTTAAGGATACTACTAGAAGAACTAGCCACTAACCAATATTTAAGTGAGCTGAGCTTACTGTGTTTCTTTTGTATGAAACTACCATCTGATTCTGGGCTCTTTAAATGTTTTATTTCCAAAACCTACTGCTCAGGATCTAGACTAGCATTTCTAATTTTCTTCAGTGTAATATTTTTCTTTGTTTTCTTAGTGCTCAACAGAGAAGCAGTCAGGTTAACAAAAGTACAGTTGGAAATCAGGTAGGCATCTGTTAAGAAAATGGTGCACTGCATGTACAAGTGAATGCTAGCTACTTGTTTTATCAGCTGTATTTTTTCTTTAAGCTTATTATTTACCAGTTTTGCTTGATACATATTGTAAAATACATCTTTTCTTCATTCTAGTTTTATATAATTTTTTGGAACCATTTGACTCCTTATGTTGCTACCAGCTACATATTTTAATAAATTTGCCACAAGTTGCACTGCTTTTTTTTTTCCCAGTGCCTCTTCCCTTTTGCCCTTTAGGACATAGAATTTCTCTTAATGTTGCCCCTAAATTAAGTTTTTTTTAACCTAAAACTTGTGCATGAGTTCAGATTTCAGAACTCTGAGTATTTGCTTATGTGCTTTTTGTCCCACAGTAGTTTACTAATTCACACGTGCACAGCTTGATAACAGAGTGAAGGGGCGAATAAGTTGGCAAAGGCAGATTTGTCTACCTCTGCTAAAACCTTTCATTTAACTTCATAATGATTATGATTATATACCACAGTCTTGTTTTAAATAAACCCAGTTAGTTTTCCTGATTGGTGGTCGCAGACTAATGGCATTTTTGCTGAGATTGCTTTAACCAGATAAGCTGGCTGTCTCTCTTTGTGTGGCGTGGACTTGATTCTGTAACATGCTGAGCACTCCTTAGAGGTGGCTATCATCTTTCACCCTGATTCCATTGCAAGTTAAGGCTGCTCAGCATTTTCCAGGATCAGTTTCTGGGGGAGGGGGAATGGAGGGGAGGGAGGTTGTATATGTATATATTTTCCAGTTAAAATAATGAAGGTGCTACAACCAGTCTAAAATCTACGCTTAGTTATTTTTCTCTCAAGTCTATTTTTCTCTCAAGCAAAACAACAATCATCATTATATCTGTGGTCATTTTTGATGGCGTAAATTCTGGGTACACAAAATTAAGATAAAGGCACTTTACTTTGATTAAACCTAGTTGGGTTGTTTACATATCTTTCTGATTCTAGAGCATGGTTGCTCCCATGCCAACAATAGAAACGAAGGGGCAAAGGCTGAGATTTTTTTTAACTGATTACTGATTTTGAGTGAGTGTGAGCTTACTTAAAGGATTAGATAAGCTCCTGATTTGTAGGAAGTGGGTGTTCAGCACTTTCTGACAATCAGTCATCTTTTTAAAAGTATCATAAGTTGAATACCCAAAAACTGAAATTCATTTTTTAAATTATGGCTAGAATGGTCCATTCTTACCCTGGAAATCTTAAAGCTGTGATACCCTTAGATTTTGACCATATTCTCAGTAAATAGTGGTTTTGACCTAATAAACTTGACAGGATAAGGGGAAAAAAAGCAACTTGAAAGGTCTAAATACTGAAACTTATCCAAAGACTAGTTCCTCTTTTCCGATGGGGAAATGCTTCCTTTTTTGTTTAGTCAGACAGGAATGTGTCAAACATGTATAGTTATCTTCACTTTCGATTGTCCCATTAAAAGAAAATTTTCCAGTTGTGCAATTACATTGATATATACAAACAGAAGTAACTACTTGTGACTCAGAGTAACTATTTTGTTTTAAACATTGGGGTTTAAGGAAAAAATGTGAAAATTTGTAATTTGTTGGTTTAAAAAAAAAACAACACTTTGAAATTCACACATTATAGAGATAATGTTAAACAGACTTTTTATTATTAATTGTTTTAGCTTAACAAAATTACTTCCATGGAGAGAAAATGATTCTGAAATAAAACTTTATTTTTATAATTCTTTGCTATTTCAGGGAACCAATCTACCGCCTTCAAGGCAAATTGTACGAGCTAAGTTCTGTAAGCTTTATTGTTGCTTTTTCATTTAACTTCTCAAAGGGCGAAGTTTGTTGCTAACTCATTAGAGAATGCTTGCAGTTAAACATTTTACTGTTAAACTATCTCATCTTTAACACCCCAGTGAAATACAATCGCAGTTCATCCCTTCACTATGACTAACCTGCTGTGATTTACAAATCTGAAGTAGTGCAACTAAAATTGTCATATTAAAGTTTCAATAAAACGTATGTTATAGTTCATTAAATTACCAACTTTTTAAAACAACTAAATTGTATATTAATGCTTCCAAAAAAGCTTAAAATTTTTAACTTACTGTTTTAAACAAACCAACTAAAACAACTAATTATCAGTGTCCTTTTATAAATATCATTGGAAAATAAAATATTCCTTTATCTGATGTTCACAACTGATGGAGGTGCTCTGCCTTTTTGAAAGGTGGGTGAATGTTGATTTCAGTAACTAAAAGGAGATATCAGTTATTTCTTGAGTGACAACTGTTTAAAAAGGGCCTTGTATCTTAACTTACAAAAATATTTTTTGGCAAGCACAGAACCAATAAACAAACATCCTGATATAATTTTGTAAATATCTAGAATTTTCTTACCATTTTATTTGTAAAATTGGAAAGATCAGTATGTTAGGAATAGACTCTTTCCCAACTCTTCCATCTTACAAGTAAATTTTAATAGTAGTTGAATGAATGTTATATTGTGATTTATACTTAATACTCGAAACATTTAGCAGTTCATTTTTGTAACAAGTCACACTCAGTTCAGTGACTTAGAGATGAATGATAAATTTTGGTTGTGCTTTCTGCTGTATAACATGTATTCTTTGATAGGCTCTATCTGGTATAACTAATCCATTTTTGGTTTGTTGTTTATTGTGACAAATTAGAGCAATAACCAGTATAAAAAGAGTAAAATGTTATGTTCAGCTTTTGAGTAAGGCATATGGGACTAAACAGAATTGATTTAATGATTTGTTGGAAATATGATTAAATTTACCCTCAGATGATTTTGGGTACCTTTATGCAATGCCATATCTTCCTCATTGTTTGTAATATGCTTTGAATAATGATGAAGAAGAGGATTACTACTCATTGCAGAAATAAGGTCATATTTATTTGGATTATATCTGTGGAAAATATGTAACACGGATTTCTGTGAAGCATACTTTTTGCTCCTCTTTTTCTCTACTAATCTATCTTATTACACTTAATCTTTGACCTTTTTGCTACCGCCTGAGGTTTTGGCCTGACTCAAGATTTCTTTTTAAGCCACAGGTTAGTCCGTCTTCAAATCTGTTTAACATAACCAGTATGAAACTTTGTTTTATATAGCACTTCTAGAAAAAAACTGGTTCATGAAGACTGACCAAAGTCTTAACTGTATAGTTTGCATGGTGAAAGTTATGGTTTTATCAGTTACTAAAATTTTGTTAAACATTATCACTTTAAGTGAAAATCTCATTTCCAATAGAACTTTCAAACACAAAAGGTGTCATTGCTTTATGTGTTCAGTCATTTATCACCTTCAATGTGAGAGTATGTGATGGATCTTACATATTGCTTAAAAACAGAATTTAAGGTAATTCAGTAGCAAAATACTAGTATTACCCCATATGGAGTAACCATTACAATTGGAGTAGGGGCTAAATCTGAACCTTAAATTGATTTGAAACCTTTCGAAAAGCCTTGCGAGTTTGGATCCAATAGGCTTGGTTCTGGTTTTTTACTAAACTCAAACCAGGGATGATTCTTGTTCCTCTGAATCAGTGATTGAATTTGTGTGAACTCTGTTGATCATTGCTCACCTTCAGGGGTCAGAGATAACTTGCACCATTTTCTTCAGTTTTCATTAATCCTTTTGCTTCATGTTGTCAGCACACTCTACCTCTTAAATGCCTTTGACTTGTTGTATAATCTAGAATGATAGCTTTAGGTAAAAGAATCTGTCTGAAAAGACGAGTGGATGAAAATAAGAACCCATGTCTGTCATTTAAAGTGAAACTAGAATGTCTTAAGTAGGGAAGAGACAGTTCTCTTGAGTAAGAGGCACCTGTTTTACTGTGGAACATTTTATGATGATCTAGTCTAGAGCTGTCAAACTCATCTGGCCCAGATGAATGATACAGGACTGGTCCACAGGTCAGATGAACAACATGGGGCTGGTCCCATGGATCCTCCCCTCCCCCACATGCTGGATCTAGTACCTGTTCCAGTGCATCCAGATGCAAATTGCACGTGGCACCCACTCCAGCCAGTTCAGCATGGGCACCACATGTAGCATGGGACCCAGACTGTCTGGAGCAGGTGCTACGTGCAGTGCAGTCCTACACTAGTTGGAACATATATTAGATTCAGCATGCAGGGGACTCGCAGACCCCTCCCTCCATGCTGGATCCAGCACCCACTCCAGCCACTTTGGGACTTGCACCGTACACAGTGCATGTCCCAGACTGGCCAGTGTGGGTGGTGCAAGTCCATGGGAAGGGGGGATGGGGCAGTTCCTTAACTGGCTCTTCATAGGTGCCCCTTGCAGTTCAGGTCCTGGAGCAAGTGCTGTGTGCTGCCTGTGGATCAAATCAAGACCCAGAGCCAGCACCAGGGGCTGGATGATGTAGCTCCATGGGTTGTATCTTTGAAACCCCTGATCCGCTTTGATTACCGTATCTTAAATTTCAAAATGACTTAGAGATGTGCAGTGCTGTAGAGTTTTCACTTCATAAGATTGTAGGAGTAGACCAGTGGCTTGAACACTCGCATTCTTTACCAGCTTTCAGTTCTGCTACTATGCCATTCCATCTTAATTTGCTTTATCACTTCAATTTTGCTTAACTGTATTTGGATGCATATGATGTTTCTTAATGCTTATGTCCTTTTTGTTTCACCAAAAGCTGAATTCTCCATCAAAGGAAGTACCTTTAGGAATTAAGCCAGTACCATCACTTTTCCAGTCACAAGATCTATTATCTGCCGTGGGAACTGATAGGAAGCAATGACAACCCAAAGAAGGGCACCTTATGCCCAGGAACTTGTTTGGGAAACAGTCTCCTAGAGGTGATAAGTTTGCAAGCTAAGGAGATGAACAAGATATAGAATTCATTTGGTCTGTGTTCACAGTTGAGCTCTTAATTTGAGTTATAATGGAAGGTACCCTGAGTATTTTGATGATTGCCTTCTATACAAACCAGTATTCTACTGTTTTCTGAGCCAACTGCAAGAAGACCTTTGGATTCATATAATTCACTAATCTTCTTTTCCACCCTTTGAAGTAGATCTTCCTCCAAAACATTATTCTCTTCTGGCCTCTAGCACCAGTGAAGCTCTTCACATTTTAACATAAGGAAAATTCTAATGTTTTATTCACTGATATGTTGCTATTCTTTTGCTTTTTATGATGCTGCCAGTTGGGACAAGTTTTCTACCATATTATAAGTAGTATTATAAGTAGACAAAGTAATTTTAGGAATTGCATTGTAACTAGCAAAGCTTTGGTGGACCAGTTGTGTATACATGCAAATACTCTAACTTGGCCAGTGGCTTCTGTTTTGCTCCTGCTGGTTGGAGTCTTGATCTGCTGATTTGAACGCTTACCCTTTTTCCTGCCTCCTTGGACTGAATATAAATCTAGTCTTTCACATATTACCTTTTAAAAGTAGCTAGCACAACTGTTGACACTTACTTAATGCAATCACCCTATCCTACAATTTGCTCTACTTAAGGTGTTTTTTTAATTCATAGAGATAGCTGTAGTAAGTTGTGCATCCATTTTTAGTTTATACAAATTTATTTTTGCCCGTCAAATCCTGCTTTCCTGTTTACTCATGAAACAGTGGAGAGGGAAGGGAACAGATATCATTTGTTTTTGTGCAGCTGAATTATCTGCAAAACGACTTCCTCTGGTGCACATGTGTGTGCACGCACACATGCGCACGCGCACACACACCTCCAGAAGTTTTTTTTTTTTCTTCAGTTACCCTGGTTTAGTTTTCCAAATTCTGAAGGAAGGAACTGTGTCATCCTTTATTCATCCTGTTCATACTATCCAACTTCCAGACAGAATATTATCTCCACACACTTCTTGTGTACTGTTAATGTTTCTCACCTTCCTGACATTCATAACTCATGTCATCAGTATCCGGTACATGAAAAATGAAATTCAGTAATATGATTAAAAAAATCCTTGTGAGTATTTGCCACTGATGCATTGGGAAATGAAACAGAGTATAAACGATCATGAAAACAAATACTGTTTTATCATTCTGCTTGTTGAGAGCAGCACAAAAGTTAAACAGCACATTGGTTAAAGGTAAATTATAGGGACTGAGACATTTCTTTAAAAATCTATGCTGTTCATATCAAAGATAAGGTAAGGTTTGGGTTAATTTTTGAGAGGTAAAGCCAGTTTGAGACTCCAGTCTGAAAATCTGAACAATAATACTTAGCTAGTGTGTGTCCCTTTCTGGAGCTTTCAGTGTAGCCTGAGCCTTTTTTTTTAAGATAACATTGGGCGCTGACAGATGTGAAAACAAAACAGAACAAAACAAAAACCCGTGCTTTACTGGAAAAAGCAGCACATTATTGGGCACTTCAGCAGGGCTTTTTGGTGCTTTTATCTAATAGCTGATTCGATCAGCTATTAGATAAAGGCACCAAAAAGCCCCACTGAAGCAGGCAATCTATATAGACATTGGGCAAACTGGGTCCAACTAACGTGATGCCTCTTCTGGGCACGCACTGGGCTTGGTGCAGGAGTGCGCTGAGTTTAAAGTAAAACACTTGGTTTTTTTCCCCACATCTGCAAGCAGCCCTTGTTCCTGAAAATACTGAAATGCCACTTATTTGTAGAAGTTATAGAATTTGTAGAAGCTCAGACCCAAAGCCATGTAAGCCCACTCTACATGTTGCAGGTAGTGTATAATTAACTGATTAATTCAGCAATTACCTTGAGACTAGCCCCATATGCAAATAGCTATTGTA